AATGCTGGGACCCTTTTTCCACCTGGATCTCCGCTCTTTTTGGCCCTCATGTCCCTCCATCGTCGGATTAAACTCGCCCCCACTTAATAATAATCATAAATTTTATTTAAAAAGGCGCCTTTCTGGACACTCAAGGTCACCGTACAAAAACATAAAAAGTGTCAGAAAAAATAAAAATTATAATTATAAAGACATTTAAAAACATTAAAAAAATACAGAGGCTGTGACAGTGAAATTTATATTTTTAAAGAGAATAAGCAATCTTGAACAGATGGGTTTTGAGTTGTATTTTAAAATGGAGAATTGAGTCCGTATTTCGAAGTTGGGGTGGTGGAGAGTTCCAGAGGCGGGGGGCAGAGCGGCTGAATGCTCTGCTCCCCATAGTGGTGAGACGGGCGGAGGGGACAGACAGGTGCAAAGCAGATGAGGATCTAAGAGCACGGGCGGGGGTGGGAACATGCAGGAGGTCTGACAGATATGGGGGGGCAAGATGGTGAAGTGCCTTGAAAGTCATCATGATAATTTTATATTGAATGCGGAACTGTATGGGGAGCCAGTGGAGCTGTCGGAGGACCGGAGTGATGTGGTGGATAGAGGGAGTTCTTGTTATGATTCGAGCAGCTGAGTTCTGGACCAGTTGTAGTTTGTGGAGTGATTTCTGAGGAAGTCCAAAGAGGAGGGAGTTGCAGTAATCTAGTCGGGAGGTGACAAGGCTGTGCACAAGTATGGCAGTAGTGTGTGGGGTAAGGGAGGGACGGAGGCGGTGGATGTTTCTTAAGTGGAAGTAGGCAGACCGGGTAATGTTATTTATATGGGATTGGAAAGATAGTGTGCTATCGAGGATGACACCCAGACTCTTAACCTGGGGGGAGGGGGAGATGGAGGAGCTATCAATAGTGACTTGGAAACTGTCGGTTTTGGAAAGAGTTGATTTGGTACCAATGAGGAGAACCTCGGTTTTACTACTGTTTAATTGAAGGAAGTTGTTGGTGAACCAGGCCTTTAATTCACAGATGCAATTTGTGAGGGAGGCGGGCGGAAGAGAGGACGATGGCTGCATGGTGAGGTAGAGCTGGGTGTCATCGGCATAGCAATGGAAGTGGATATTGAATTTACGGAAGATATTGCCAAGGGGAAGGAGGTAGATGATGAAGAGCAGGGGCCCCAGAACAGAGCCCTGGGGCACACCAGAGGTGACGGGGAAGGGGTTGGATTTGAGGGTCTTCAGTTGAATGAACTGAGTGCGGTCAGAAAAATAAGAAATAAACCAGTCCAACGGAGTGCTTGTGATGCCAATGGAAGAAAGCCTACTGAGGAGGGTGGTGTGACAGATGGTGTCGAAGACTGCACTCAGGTCGAGGAGGATGAGGATGGTGAGTAGTCCAGAATCAGATGCCATGAGGAGGTCATTGGTGATTTTGATGAGTGCTGTTTCAGTGCTATGGAGTGGCCGGAAACCAGACTGAAAGTCTTCATACAGGCTGTTGGCCGATAGGTGAGAATGGAGCTGGGAGGCAACTGTTTTTTCAAGAATTTTGGAGATGAAGGGTAAATTGGAGATAGGACGGAGGTTGTTGAAGTTGGTGGGGTCGGCACCAGGTTTTTTTTACAATCGGGGTGATGGCAGCAGTTTTGAGAGGTGTAGGGACAGTTCCAGTGGTGAGGGAGGAGTGGATGATAGCGGAGATGAGGGGAGCCAGAGAGGGAAGGCAGGTTTTGACAAGTTGTGTTGGGAGGGGGTCCAGTTGACAGGTGGATGATTTGGATTTCCGGATGAGCTCTGTGATTTCCGAGACAGTGGGAGGATGGAAGGAGGAGAATAAATGTGTAGGCGGGGGGAGATCTGCTGAGTTGCTGAGATGAGCCGTTGATCCAAGGTTCTGGTGAATGTTCTTGATTTTTTCTGTGAAGTATGACATGATGTCATTGCAGAAGGAGGTTGTGTAAAGGTGCAGGGGGAAAGGGTCCTGGGGTTTGATGGTATTGTTAAGTATAGAGAAAAGTGACTTAGAACTCTGTTGATTGGCAGTGATTAAGTTGGAGTAGTACTGTGATTTGGTGCTGGCAATGGAGTCCTTATAGTGCATAATGTGATTATTGTACATTTCTTTGTGTATAGTAAGACCAGTTTTTCTGTAAAGTCTTTCAAGTTGCCGTCCTTTGGTTTTCATGCTTCTGAGATTTGGAGTGTACCAGGGGGAGGAGACGGAGAAAGAAACAAATCTATTTTTTAGAGGAGCAAGTGAGTCAAGAATATTATGGAGACCAGTGTTGTAGTGAAAAACCAGATCATCAGGGGTTAGCAGATTATTGAAGTCAAGGAGGCAGGATGAGTGGATACTTGAAATAAGGGTGGAGGGATCAATTTTCTTTATGTTCCGGAAGGATATGAGGCGGGATGTTTTAGAGACTGAGAGAGTAAGATTAACTGCAAATGAGAGGAGAAAATGGTCACTTATGGGGAGTTCATCAGATATTATGTTGTGGGGGATGACACCAGAGCAACAGATTAAATCCAGAATATGTCCTTTGGTGTGTGTGGGGGTAGTGGTGTATTGCTGACATCCAAAACTCTCTAGGCAGGAAGTAAAGTCTTTGGTGAGAGGCGAATTGATGTTGTCAATGTGGATATTGAAATCACCCAGCAGAATTAAGTTTGGTGAGAGAGAGGATAGGTGGGTGAGAAAATCAGCAAACTCAGTTAAAAAGGCACTATTCGGTTTTGGGGGGCGGTAGACAGCAGCAATGATGGTTGGAGTTGGACCAGATAGCTTGCAGACTGTGGATTCAAACGTGTTTGAAACTGGAGCTGATACCGGCGAGACTTTCCAATTCTCGCGATGAATTATCGCGAGACCTCCTCCGCGACCGGAACCACGGGGTTGAGAGATGTTAACAAACCCACTAGGAGTGGAATCGTTGAGCTGAGAGTAATCTTGGGGCTGTTGCCAGGTCTCGGTTAAGCAGAGAAAGTCCAGTTTACGGTCAGTGATGAGATCCTGAATGAGATGTCCCTTGCTTGTCAGTGAACGGATGTTGAGCAGAGCAAAGTTGAGTGCGTTGTTGTCGCAGCTGGTGGTGGTGCTAGCCGACCGAGCTAGGCGGGCTAACACGCTGTGGTCGACAGCCCAGCTGGTGGAGCATGGAGGGCGACGAATCCACCGTCAGGAGCTGGACCAGATGGATTTTATTGCTGTTGAACCGTTGCGGTGGACAATCCGACGGGACCCTCGGTGGATGTATCTCCGACGTGGCTGGAAGGTGATGTCCCGGTGAAGGTGGAGTGCCTCGGGCGCAGGTCCAAGGGAGTGACAGCGGAGCCGGAGCAGGTCAGCGGGTGAATACTGCAGCAAACCCGCCACTTGCAGGTGAGCGGGCAGTAGGAATATCCAGATACAGACAAGCAGGGTGTATGTCCTGCCGGTCCACATTATTAAAAACGCCAGGTGAGGCTTAAAACGAGGCAGGACAGGTGAGCTACTGGTAGTAGCCTAGTTGGGACTCACACAGTCCTGTAGTGCTGACGAATCGTGGTCGTATTCCCAGTAAAAATAATCCCAGTAAAAACAATTAGACTGTCCGTTAGAAAGTAAAAAAGTTTAAAAGTTACCGGTGAGCGAAGGCAGTGAGCAACGAATACAAAAATACCAGCGAGCAGCGGCAGCAAGTCGTGCCAGCGTTCACTCCCGCGTTTCCTCGCCGCCTCGGCCGTATCTAGACCCACAGCGTGTAGCGCAGACCATGCTTCAATATTTAGCATAAATCAAAAATGTCTGTGTCAAGCTCACTGCAACACACTGCTGTAAGAGTATAACCAGGAAGCGAGGTAGGAGGGCAAAATAGGTTTAGCGCCACCGCAGCACGGGAGGGAGAATTACGCCCAGGAGCAAACGGATAAAAATAGACTGGAGGAAGAAAAAAAAAAATGAATCGATACTCTTGCGGGCGTATCGATGCATCGGATTGTCGGCTGTTGGATCGATGCATCGATACAAAACGATTATTATTTTCACCCCAATAAAGATGTCTTGGACTTGGGGAGAAACATTTGGGAAATGACTTGGACCTTCAGAATAAGATTAGAGTCAGACATGAACTTGACATGAAAGATTTGGGACTTAACATGGACCTGAGGAGAAAGCCTGGATCTTACTAAGGTGTAGGAGGAAGACTGATTTGGACTCTGGACTTTAGCAGGAGTTGGAAAACAGAGTTAACACTTGAATTTGACTCGGTAGGAAAAACAAAAGCTTACTATAACCAATCCTTAATGGTCAGATTCCTCTACATCAGCGGTCTCCAACCTTTTTTGCGCCACGGACCGGTTTTATGTCAGATAATATTTTCACGGACCACCCTTTAAAGTGTGGGGGTAATGAGATAAAATAAAATGATACGACTGGCATAAAATCAAATACAAACAGCATAAAAATAAAACTCACCATTATGTTGAATTAGTGGGAGCCCTGAGCTTGTTTCTCCGAAACAAGCCGGTCCCATCTAGGCGTAATCGGAGACAATGACACATGAAGTGTGCTCCTGATGTCCAGTCTGCTTCGTAGCTTTGTTTTGGTCACTGTAACCGCAGAAAATCCCGCTTCACAAACATAGGATGTTATAGATAGGATGCCTCTTGACCTGAATTAACCTGTGTCAAGAGGCACAGATGCACCGACTGATGTAATTGGAAGATAAAACCCAAAGTTTTTGTATTTTTCAAAATAAAACATCACTCAGACTGTGATCGTTGATAAATTATATACATATATATATATATTTTTTTTTTTTCTGTGCGGCCCGGTACCAAATGACCGACGGACCGGTACCGATCCGCGGCCCGGTGGTTAGGGACTGCTGCTCTACATGACATTTTTTCCATCTTGAATTGGAGACTTCAGGCTTTGCACCATGTTGTCTTCTTTCCCTTTGATAAAAACTAAATAAAATATATGACTAACAACAAGGCTACCATGATGATACCTGTGTGACTGTATTTCCAGGTGACATGGAGGAATTCGAGGCCCTGTGGCTGACAGGAATCTGTCACAACGAGAAGAACGAGGTGATGAGCAGCCAGCTGGACGTGGACAACATGGCTGGGGTCTTCTACATGCTCGGGGCTGCCATGATTCTGTCACTACTCACCTTCATCTGTGAACATTTGTTCTACTGGCAGCTGCGTTTCTGCTTCATGGGCGTGTGTTCAGGGAAGCCCGGGTTCACATTCTCCATCAGCAGAGTGAGTCTTCCCATGTTTTTATTATTTTTTTTTAGATCTGACCTCTGTCCTCCTGACAGAAAGATCACGGGGCCAGCCGTATGGAAGCCAATGGCCGTGGTTGAGCTTTATCAAGTCAGTCAGGAGGACGTGATGACTCATTTGGTTTACCTGCGGCTCATTTCTGTCCATTCACTGAAATACTCAACATACGTAGCCTGTGCTTCACAAAAGCATTTATAAATTTATTAATTGTAATTAACATGTTAACTGATGTAATAAAATCTCTAGTAGAGATTTTAAACTACCTAAACCTGAAATAAAGCTATTACTGTAGTAGCATGATCTTAAGATGAAAATAAAACAAAATCCACTTTATCAATACATCCATCATCTTCCACTTATCCGTTGGATCGCTGGGGTAGCAGCTTCAGTAGGGAGGCCCAGACGTCCCTCTCCCCAGCCACTTGGGCCAACTCCTCAAGGGGAACCCCAAGGCGCTCCCAAGTCAGCCGAGAAACATAGTCCCTCAAGAGTGTCCTGGGTCTCCCCCGTGGGCCTCATCCCTGTGGGAAATGACTGGGACACCTCACGCCAGGAAGTTGCTCATAAATCACAACCATAAATCAATTAAACAACTTATAATAACCCTACTTATAACTGTCCTAAAATATAAACTAAAGGTCAACAATCAGTTGTAAAACATTTAGACAAACCCTTGTTGAATCCCGGAGAACCAATGTACCAGATTAGCGACTTACAAGAGTTTTTGAGCTCTTTTCCTCATGCCACCTGTGAACTGGGCTCTTGTCTTACTTTTTGTTGATTAGCTTGTCTTATGTTACATTTCCAGTCCTCATTTTTAATATAGCATAACACATTAAATCCCAGGGATCAACCCAATCCACATCAAATGAATCGATTAACACACTCACACTAACACAGGGCACCTTCAATCAGCTGCGACTGATTGTAATAACGAAGTTTCGCATCTTCCTATGTTCCTCATTTACATTAATAGCAGCGCAACCTGCTACTGTAACAGCCATTTCTGCGTGCAACGTGCTCTTGCGCTCTTTCTACCGTAATAACAGTCTACATGCAACATTTTCCCCTTCAATCATAAAACAATAAAATCTGGGGACAGCTTTAGCCGGGGATAGGTGGTCCAAAAAGGGGACTGTTCCTGCAAATTGGTCACCATTCTGATCACTGTAGTTTAGACAGCTATTTTTTGTATTCCAATAAGGGGAGATCGCTGCATCATCCCTCTGGAAGGAGGGGAGCATGGTAGACATACTGTGCATTGGGCTATAACAAAGAGCTATATTTTTTCCTGGACTGGAACCTTAACCACTGTGTGATGTCGCTTTCAAACAATTCATTTAAAATACAAAGATGGCGCTTATCCTGGCAGGGGAACTAATAAAGCCTGGCTGCGCTCCAGGCTTCTAATTTACTGTGAGAAACCCTGCAAGCCTCTTACTAGACAAAACTCTTGCTATTGACAAGCATCAAACAAGAAGCAATTTCCACATCTGTCTAAATAAAAAATCTCTGAGCATAATAGCTAACCATTTAGGCAGTGATTGCTGAAAACTCTGCTAGTTGTAGTTGGTTGTCAGCTCTGCCTCTTTACAGTAGCCACCCATTTCCTTCGCCTTTCGGTGTCTTTAGAGAGGCAATAAAATGAGATTTTGTCCTTTCTTCCTTTTTTAATTCGTACACCCATATGCTTAGCACGAGATATCATGTTTTTGTTGGTGTTTTTAAGGTAATATAGTGGAAAACTACAGTAGCTGCTGGTTGTTTTCTAGGTACACAAGGTTTTTTTTTTGCTGTCCTAGGAGACAAAGTCGTGTGATGTGATTGGTTGAAGCCAGCTGCACATCCTCTATAGCAGTGGTCTCCAACCCTGGTCCTCAAGATCTACTGTCCTACAGATTTTAGATGCATCCCTGCTTCAACATAGCTGAATCAAATGAATGGCTTGAAAAGGTAATCAATCATTTGATTCACCCCATGCTAGTAAAGGGTTGGACCCCCTTTTGCCTTCAGAACTGCCTCAATTCTTCGTGGCATAGATTCAACAAGGTGCTGGAAGCATTCCTCAGGGAGTTTGGTCCATATTGACATGATGGCATCACACAGTTGCCGCAGATTTGTCGGCTGCACATCCATGAGGCGAATCTCCCGTTCCACCACATCCCAAAGATGCTCTATTGGATTGAGATCTGGTGACTGTGGAGGCCATTTGAGTACAGTGAACTCATTGTCATGTTCAAGAAACCAGTCTGAGATGATTCCAGCTTTATGACATGGCGCATTATCCTGCTGAAAGTAGCCATCAGAAGTTGGGTACATTGTGGTCATAAAGGGATGGACATGGTCAGCAACAATACTCAGGTAGGCTGTGGCATTGCAACGATGCTCAATCGGTACCAAGGGGCCCAAAGAGTGCCAAGAAAATTTTCCCCACACCATGACACCACCACCACCAGCCTGAACCGTTGATACAAGGCAGGATGGATCCATGCTTTCATGTTGTAGACGCCAAATTCTGACCCTACCATCCGAATGTCGCAGCAGAAATCGAGACTCATCAGACCAGGCAACGTTTTTCCAATCTTCTATTGTCCAATTTCGATGAGCTTGTGCAAATTGTAGCCTCAGTTTCCTGTTCTTAGCTGAAAGGAGTGGCACCCGGTGTGGTCTTCTGTTGCCCTTCTATCAGCTCGAACCAGTCTGGCCATTCTCCTCTGACCTCTGGCATCAACAAGGCATTTCCGCCCACAGAACTAACACTCACTGGATGTTTTTTCTTTTTCAGACCATTCTCTGTAAACCCTAGAGATGGTTGTGCGTGAAAATCCCAGTAGATCAGCAGTTTCTGAAATACTTAGACCAGCCCTTCTGGCACCAACAATCATGCCACGTTCAAAGTCACTCAAATCACCTTTCTTCCCCATACTGATGCTCGGTTTGAACTGCAGGAGATTGTCTTGACCATGTCTACATGCCTAAATGCACTGAGTTTCCGCCATGTGATTGGCTGCTTAGAAATTAAGTGTTAACGAGCAGTTGGACAGGTGTACCTAATAAAGTGGCCGGTGAATGTATATTACACCCGGCTCTGTAAAAGCCTTAAGATGTCAAATACGAATTTCATGTCCTGTTTTTACAAGGATTGATTTGTGGAATAGTTAGCAAAAATGAAAAGAAGCTATAGCAAAGAAAAACTTTTATGGTATTGCAAACTTCATACCAAACACATTTGGTTTATATAAAAAGACAATTGTATTATGCTGAATTTGCATAATGTTACCTTTCAGAAAGCAGATAATTACTTTGTGCAAATTGTACTATAACTAGTTACTGGAACAAAGGCCACCAGTGTTTATTTTTTTTAAGAATTAAGGTCTTATTGTAATGCCATGTATTTCACATTCACATCGCTGAGGTGAAGTACCTTAAACAGCAATTACTTTTAATAGACCTGAAAAACGGATTTTGCTCATTGAACTGCATGGCTCTCAATCAAAGACACCTTTCAGAAGTAGCAGCTATTGAAACTATTGTTTTGGAATGAATTAGCTTAAGACTGCAGCTGCAATCCATAGTGGTTCAAATTCCATTTGTTTTAGTCCGTGTGAAGATAATGACACAGAGAGAGTAAAAGAGGTCAGGTAATGGGAGAAGAGATAAACATTCAAGCAAGTGACAGAAAAATGGATGAGGTGAGAAGTACCAACATGGCAGTGTGCTCACAACCTTGGTTCCATTACCTTTCAGCCGGAGAAGCAGTAGATGAAGAGAGATAAAGACAGACAGCCCCTATTGGAGCAGCTGTCGCTCATCAATGCACCCTGAAACCTAGATAATTAAAAAAAAAAACACAAAGGGAGAACTGAGCCATGAGAAAGAAGAAGCTTGATGGTTAACAATTATGAATGCAGCTCAGTGACTTGGAAAGTTACTAAGAGACAGACAAAAACAGTTTTGGACAAGTTGACGCCTTTGAGGAACGTTGGCCCGCACACTCGCTGGTGGACAGTGAGTCGTCAACCTTTCAGTTCTGTCGCCTTGACCAGATTCTCCCAGCCTGTATTTAATTATGCTTGCTTTACCCTACAACCAAAAGGCTTTTTTTCCCAGCACCAAAAGAACCATTTTACAATTCATTCAGCTACATACTTTTTTCGGCAATGGCAATTTGCGTTGATCAGTCATAACAGTATGACCCACTTATGTTGTCCTGAAGCTCAATTACATCTGTATTGAAAAAGTTATTTACAGAGTGCAGCAACAAACAGCAGAGTTTGAGTCAACATCAAGTGTTAAATCAGTTGACTTCTGCTGTTTGTTTAAAGTTAATATTGTGGTTTTGTGACATTTTTCATAGATCAAACATTTAAAAAGTTATTTTTTGAGTATCTCTTTTTCATGCTTTTTTTTTGCTTTGTTTTCGTTGTTTTTCTGGGGGCTTTATAAACTTGAACCCTTCCATTTACCTTCCTAAGCAACTCCAGTACTGTTGCTGGGGATTTACCAGTTGGTATCCTGTTAGAGACTCGTCAGGGATATGCAGAGTGTCCGAAACAGCTGGTAGGTGAACGGATGAGAAAAGCCTATTGCAGAGGGCAACATATACTTGGCATTTAGATGGGGGCATTTAGTGAGGACAGAGAAGAGGACCTCAAATGGTGCAAAGACTTGGTCTGAACTATCACTTCCTTTTCCACTGATTAATAAGTGCAAATGTGTAAATGACCAGACAAAGACGTGGTTGACGTCTGATGATCAGAGTTAGAATTATGAGATTGATGGATGCGGCAAACCATTTTGCCATGCTAGCAATGAACAGCATACTGGCAAAACAGGGGAGTGAGCTTGTATGTTGATTCCTGCTAAGGTCGTCTTTCTATTCCTCTGACATTAAACTCCTCTGTTTTTCCATTCACCCTTTTAATCTGCCTTAAGGAACTCCGCACAAATTTATAGCCATAGTGGGTATCCATCGAAATCAAACATGGTAAATACATTTACTATTGCAGTAATTGTACACAACTTGCAAAACATTACTCTTGCCCCTTCATGTTTTTTAATCAGAGACTTTAAATTGATTTTCCTGAGGACGTGCCTGTCTATTTTTCTCAGTTTGATTACTTACAAAAAAGATATAATAAGCTACTTCTTAAGAAATGCTGTGGCACAGTAAAGACACTTTCAAATCATACCCGATGGAACCGTTGGGCACTTCTTGCCCTAGTCTACAAGAAGTTTTTTTCTTTTTTTTTATACTTTATTGATCTAACATTTATTGATCTCACAGAAATTTACCTATGCATTTAACCCATGCCCATGGGGAGCAGTGGGCTTCCATTGTGGGGTGCCCAGCAGTGGCGGCTGGTGGAGTTTTTTCCAGGGGGTCTATAAATTAAAAATAGACGTATACCAAAAACCAATCAAAGTATACTAAGTTATTCATATGAATGCCAACAACAAGAAACACTTTATAAAAACAAAACATAATTTCATGTACAGGTTGAATTTTTGTACATAAATGATTTGTGAAGACAAATCTGTGTTTTGCATGGTCCAATAGTGTGTCGCAAACCTAAAAAAATAATGTATACGTTTGATAATGGAGAAGCTTTAGTTAGCTGTATATTTTTTAATATACAAAAACTATTTATTTTCTGAGACTGCATTTATTTAAGAGCAACTATGCAGATTAACAAACATCTAGAAAAAGTACACTATATTATATTATTTTCCATGTAAATTCAAGATTATTCATGCTTCTTTGCCTTTTCTAAAAAGTGCTTTAAATCAGTTATACCTGTCTTTATCCGTGTTGGGTCAGATCCTGATGTTTGAAAATGGAGGCAAGAAAAGCAGAATAAAGCATTAGCCTTGTCCATGCAGTTAGCCAAGCCTTGTAGTTAAACCAGGTCCTGGAAAAGGAACGTTTCTTGTGTCATATCTCTCTCTCTTTATTGCGTCTCCAACTCCTGTGACTGGACCTGCCAATCACCAGCAAAACGTCTGCACCAGAGCTGTGCCCTGAGCTCTCCTATGCCTTTGTATTGCTGAGGAGCTACTGCACATGTACAGCTTTTAATGAGAGTCAATGGGCAAATACTTTTGTGCCCTAGGACAGAAATACGTACTTCACCAATCTAACCAAAAATTAAATGACGCTTTACTTGTCTTTAAAGATTAAATATTTATCTTGTACATCCAAAAAATAAATATCAATATATCTCAAAAATATTTTAAATTTTAATAAAAATTAAACTATATGTACTTTTTTAATGTCTTAATCAGGGTCATTGGGTGGGTGGGGTGTGCCACTTGTGCCCTCTATTGATCAGCCCCTACTGGAGCCCACGGAGCAGTGTGGGGTTAACGGCCTTGCTCAGAGACCCAGAGTGGCAGTCTGTGGGAATGGGGCTTGAACTTAGAACCTCACGAGGATTGTGTGTAAAGTGGTAGGAGTATGGAAAGAAGAAACTATCAAATAACTTAATAGTTGTTATTACAGCACAAACACAACTCTGGTAGTGATATGCATAAACTAACTTGCACTATGACAAGTGGCATCACTTTCTGTAAAAATAGCATAATCCCCCAAAAATAATTTCAATTTACCCAGATAAAAAGCCTTGAGTCGGTAAATCTCTTAGGTATCTTGAATCAGAAACGATCGTCTTTCATCAGGCAATTATAACCACTAAGGGATTGCACAAGAATCAGTAAAAAGGGAAATATGAAAAAAATTAGACAACAAATTCTTACAATGCCTGGAGAGGAATCTAATCCCTGGTTATCCTTTTGGTGAATTAAAATGGGTTGTTTGAGCATAATAAGTGTTATCTTGTTCATGCAGAAGAGCTGAATTAAATGTATACAAGATTTAATACAGGTAACTTTGCAGATAATTTGGTAGAATATATGGCTGATTCATATCTGGCCAGATATGAATCAATAAATCACATGAGGAAAAAAATGTTAAGATCAGGCCAAAAATATTGACTGGCGTATATATGAGTCTACCTCTGGCACAGAGAAAAATAGACCTTTTCAATTTGTTTATCAGGTAACGGTTAGGATGCTAACACTGCGTTGTTGAATCTAAGTATAGAGCATCTAAAGAGCTTGAAAATCCATGCACATCTCTATTTTATTGACCTACCTTTAGCCTTTGGACTGCATTCAGCTCTGCATCGTTTTGCTGTTGGTAGATGAATTTGTTGAAAAAGAAGTCACTGATTACACATCAAAGTTCAGTTTATGGATCAGTTAATTCAAAGGTGCATAAACTCACACCAGCTTTGTCGTCTCTTCTTTTGGAACAATAACATATTTCAGTTGATATTAGTATGAGTAATTGGCAGGACTCTGTAGAACATTATAATCGGTTTGCTTTATTGGTTGAACCAAGTATACCACCCTTTGTGGACTTGAATTTGAGATGCCTCTTAAAGAGCCTCATGAAATGGACTTGTTCCCACAGATGCTAATAACACAGTAAACTGAAACACTGAGTATTCTGACACCTTTCTATTAAAATAATACAACTAAAACAATAAATATGTCAGATGGAACAAAACGGACCAGCCTTCCCTTTTCCTGTGCATCACTGAGCCTAGGTCCTCCATTACTCTGACTCCAGCTTCTAAAGGATTAACTTCAATGTTGATAGACATATATATAAATATATATATATATATATATATATATATATATATATATATATATATATATATATATATATATATATATATATATATATATATATATATATTTTTTTTATTTTTTTATTTAGTGGTCATAATGTTGTCCGACCTACTGAAGCAGGTTGCTGTAATTGTCTCCCTCTTTCATATATAATATATTTTACTGTTTAGTGGATGAAACATGTAAAGCTCTTGTTTACACAGGCAGCTGTAATGGTGTAAGTGAAATTTAAATTGCATTGATTAATCCTATTGATTTGTGGTCAAAATCACAGGCTTAGTGCTTCTCATGTGGTATAAATCAAGACCCTGATCTGCTCTGTCCATTTCTAGTCTGTTATCTGGTCCTGAGCTTTGGAGTAAAGCTTACACGGACCGTACTCTTCCCTACAGATAATCCATTAATTAATGTGTATCCTATTACTGTTAAATAAAGAGTAAACACAAAGCATGGCAATACATCCCTTCTTGTTTCTGTTTTCCTCTAACTCTTAATTTTCGTCGCTGGCATTTGTCGTTTTCTTTCTCTATCTCCCCCTCTGACAAACCTTTATGGGTCCTTCTTTTCCCATGTATTTTACCTTTTACTTTCATTCCTTGTCTCGGTTTTCCTTTCCCTCCTATGGTCTATCTTACCCATTTTTTCTCTACCTTATTTTTCTATTTTCACTCTCCAGGGTATCTACAGCTGCATCCATGGGGTACAAATTGAGGAAAACAAGTCAACCATAGACTCACCCTCTTCCACCATAAAGAAGAACATGAACAACACCCACTCCAACATCCTACGGTTACTCCGAACTGCTAAAGACATGACTGCAGTCCCAGGTGTCAATGGCTCTCCACATGCAGCTCTAGAGTATAGCCATAGCAGTCGTGAAGCGGCCATCTATGATATCCAGAAGCACAGGCACAGCCTGGTGGGTCACCCAGCTGACTGTAAGTCTGCTACACCTTACCCTCCAGAGGACCCCATGTTCAGTGACTACATCAGCGAGGTGGAGAGGACTTTTGGCAACTTGCCCCTGAAGGACAGCAACCTGTACCAGGACCATTACCGGCACCACCACCCGGCCTCGGCTCTGGGTATGTCCGGCCCCCCACCCAATAGGCCGCGTAGCTTAGGCAGCGCTAGCTCATTGGAAGGGGGCATGTTCGATGGTGACAGTTTGGGGGGAGGTGTAGCACCCATTTTTACCACACAGCCCCGTCCCTCCATGACTCACAGGAATACAAGTAAATTTGACCTGATTGCAGGCCACGCCGCTGCGGATGCCAATCAGGGTGGGTTCAAAGGAAGCAATGTTTACGGCAGGTTTTCTTTCAAAGGAGGAGCATCCAGCACAGGGCTCATCGGGGGACATGACAGGTACTGTGGTGGGGGTGGGGGAGGCTCAGGGGGTGACGACGGGAACATTCGCTCCGACGCCTCGGATATCTCCACCCACACTGTTACCTATGGAAACCTGGAGGGAAGCACCAAGAGGCGTAAGCAGTACAGGGACAGCCTGAAAAAGAGGCCAGCCTCTGCAAAGGTCAGACGGGAGCAGGACGAGATAGAGCTGAATGCCTTCAGGAAGAGACCCCACCACCACACCGTCCACCACCACTTCCCTCATGGGCCTCTGGCACACCGCCCGGTCTCACCTCCCGTGGAGTGGAAGAGGGGAGGAGGAACGGGTAATTCTTCACCTTACTTATTCCGCAAAGACAAAGACAACCTGAGGGATTTCTATGCGGACCAGTTTCGCTCCAAGGAGGGCAAGGCCAAGTGGGAGCAAGAGGGTGGAAGTGGAGGAAGCGGTGCGGGCGGTGGTAGTGGTGGCGGTATCTGTAAAAGTTTAGTGCCTGTGGAAGACTTTCTCAAAGGTAAAGGGAAAAAAACAGATGGCAAAGGTGGGCTTGGTGGAATGTCAGCTGGGCAGCAGGCTCACACTTGCTGGGAGCAAGGAGCTTCTGGGCTTGGAGGTGGTGGCATTGCAGGGGGTGACTGGGAGTGTCGTAACTGCCACAGTGTTTGTCATCACAGTGGAGGAGGCAGCACATGCCAAGCTAGTGGGGCTGGGGGGAGTGGCAGTCGCCCCAGCTCTGCTACGCTTTGCAAACGCTGTGACTCCTGCAAGATACAGCCAAGCAACCTTTATAACATCAGTGAAGATAACAACATGATATTCAGCGGTATGAAGAGCAGCATAGGACCCAGTCAGACTCAGCGCAGGAAGCTAGGACCAGGTGGGAAGGTGTTGCGGAGGCAGCACTCCTATGATACCTTTGTAGATCTACAGAGAGAGGGAGCAGGTCGCATGGGTGGGGTCGGTGGTGGTGTTGGCGGGCCCTTTGCCCAGCCCCGAAGTGTGAGCTTGAAAGATAAAGACCGTTACATGGAGGGTCCCAGTCCCTATGCGCACATGTTTGAGAGATATTCAGGTGAAAGAGAGTCTCCAATGTTTGGAGGAATAGGTGGGGATAGAGTAGCAGGAGGGTCCTCCTTCAGTCTTTACCGTGGAGGAGAGGGTGGGTTGCATCGGCGTTCAGTGGGGGAGAGAGACCTTAGGGACAGAGACAGAAATGTGATGGGAGGAGGGGCCGGTGGTGGTGGTAACAGAGGGGCCGGGACTTACTCCTTGTCTAAATCTCTCTACCCAGATAAGGTGAACCAGAACCCCTTCATCCCAACCTTCGGTGACGACCAGTGTCTATTACACGGTGCCAAACCGTACTACGTCAAAAAGCCACAGACGCCGCAGCAACAGCAGCAACTTCTCAACAACAGCCGAGGAGGAGGGGAATTCCGCAGCTCCATGGGAGCAACTTCCTATTTGCCCGCATCTGCCACAGCTGGGGTGATGTCCAATGTGGCCCCAAGATACCCCAAAGAGCTGTGCCTGGGTGGGGTGGGAGGGCCCATGGGGAACCACCACGGGGCCAACAAACTGCTGCCCGGAGGCAGGGACACGTTAGGTCTGGGACAGGGACAGAGACCCTTCAATGGTGCCAACGGACATGTCTATGAAAAGCTCTCGAGCATTGAGTCAGATGTCTAAGACTGAAGTCAGAGGAAGGGAGACATAGAGAAGAGGAAGCGGGTAAAGAAATGAGGGGAAGAAGACCTAGGCTTATGACTTCTCTATATGACTAGAATGAAGGGTACACAGTATGTGTGGTCTCAGTCTACAAACAGGACAGGTTTTGAACAAAACACAAAGGCTGCTGACACAAAGTTTGGCAAAGCTTAAAGTGAACAAGTTTTTAATGAGACAAAAGGATTCTGGTGCTGCTCCAACGTTTGAGCTATCTGAAGGCGGGGTTAGAGGGAATAGGAAAAGGTGAGCTCAATTCTCCAGTCGCTGCTGTCCTCACATGCCTATGGTCTTTCCCTCCTTCCTGTTTGTTCACGCCAAAACAAACATGTTGTTAAGCAACGGATTTACAATCACGAATGAGAAATCTACACTTCTGCAGAAGTAACAGGGTAAACTAACAATAATTGTATTGATGATGTTAATAATATTACTGAATATTATTCTAGTGTTTAATGATGATCAGTTTGGATTGTTTTTTATTACTATCATTATTTAATTGACTTAAATAGTTAATGTTATATATTTGTATGATGTTAATTCTTTCTTAGTTTACCAACATTTCAAGAGGCCGGGCAACCAGCTTTAATGATATTTGTTGGTTTCTTGTAACTTCTTTCCTATAAATTCTTCATGTTTGACTTTTTTTAAACTTTTCTTACTTCTGACTGCAGTGAAGTGTATGTAAGAGGCATGATAAGCTGAGTGCATTAAATGTACTTTTAAATTTGTGATTTTCTTTTCAGCTGCAGAAGCAACACCATCATACTGATTTGCAGTTTTTGTTCCTAACTTTGCCAATACCAAAAGGGTTTCTCAATTTGCACTGGATGTGCCTTAAAGGGACTTACACTGACTTTCTATCCATTTTCTTTTGATAGGAAGATCCTCTTGCAATCAGTCATCTGATTTGGGAGTAAAGATACACTATATTGCCAAAAGTATTTGCTCACCCATCCAAATTATTGGAATCAGGTGTTCCAATCACTTCCATGGCCACAGGTGTATAAATTCAAGCACCTAGGCATGCAGACTGTTTTTACAAACATTTGTGAAAGAATGGGTCGCTCTCAGGAGCTCAGTGAATTCCAGCGTGGAACTGTGATAGGATGCCACCTGTGCAACAAATCCAGTCGTGAAATTTCCTCGCTCCTAAATATTCCACAGTCAACTGTCAGCTGTATTATAAGAAAATGGAAGTGTTTGGGAACGACAGCAACTCAGCCACGAAGTGGTAGGCCACGTAAACTGACGGAGCGGGGTCAGCGGATGCTGACGCGCATAGTGCGAAGAGGTCGCCAACTTTCTGCAGAGTCAATCACTACAGACCTCCAAACTTCATGTGGCCTTCAGATTAGCTCAAGAACAGTGCGCAGAGAGCTTCACGGAATGGGTTTCCATGGTCGAGCAGCTGCATCCAAGCCATACATCACCAAGTGCAATGCAAAGCGTCGGATGCGGTGGTGTAAAGCACGCCGCCACTGGACTCTAGAGCAGTGGAGACGCGTTCTCTGGAGTGACGAATCGCGCTTCTCCATCTGGCAATCTGATGGACGGGTCTGGGTTTGGCGGTTGCCAGGAGAACGGTACTTGTCTGACTGCATTGTGCCAAGTGTAAAGTTTGGTGGAGGGGGGATTATGGTGTGAGGTTGTTTTTCAGGAGCTGGGCTTGGCCCCTTAGTTCCAGTGAAAGGAACTCTGAATGCTTCAGCATACCAAGACATTTTGGACAATTCCATGCTCCCAACTTTGTGGGAACAGTTTGGAGCTGGCCCCTTCCTCTTCCAACATGACTGTGCACCAGTGCACAAAGCAAGGTCCATAAAGACATGGATGACAGAGTCTGGTGTGGATGAACTTGACTGGCCTGCACAGAGTCCTGACCTCAACCCGATAGAACACCTTTGGGATGAATTAGAGCGGAGACTGAGAGCCAGGCCTTCTCGTCCAACATCAGTGTGCGACCTCACAAATGCGCTTCTGGAAGAATGGTCAAAAATTCCCATAAACACACTCCTAAACCTTGTGGACAGCCTTCCCAGAAGAGTTGAAGCTGTTCTAGCTGCAAAGGGTGGACCGACGTCATATTGAACCCTATGGATTAGGAACGGGATGTTACTTAAGCTCATATGTGAGTCAAGGCAGGTGAGCAAATACTTTTGGCAATATAGTGTATAAGAGACAATAGTCTAATGTAGTTTTACTTTTATCCTGTACATGAAACTAAGTTTGCAATGAACAAAATAAAAGAGACCGTGGGCATTAGTCCAAAAAAAAGTATACCACAACATTCCTTTACTTTTAACTCTGAACTCAACGGAACTATGGGAGACTTATTTTATTTAAATCATATAATGATCGTAAGCTCTTACCACGAAACAACCAATTTCCAAACAATCCTATGGCTTTATAAAGAAACTAAAAGATCTACCATTACATAGTCATTTTTTTCATTATACCAGTAGTTAGGACAAATTATTTTGTGAAAATACAACATATTTAATGTAAAAGGAAAAAATTAAGCTCTGCAACATTGACGTTCATACAGATTTGGAGGCTACCAGGCTGAAAAGGGTTATAAAAGTCATCTGGTTTTGTCTGAAGATAGTAAATGACTCTACCAGCACACCACAGGTACGCTAATACATTGTAAATAAGTTATTGCTTCTTCTCTGGAAAATGTAGCTTTTTCCTTGCTTTAAGATCAAAGTTGATAAAAAGATGACAAGCATATCTAAATTGAGCTTGTTCCATGATAGTTTGAAAGCTGCTCTCTATTTTTACCCTTCCTGTTATCTGCTTGAAGTGGCCCTTTTACTCGCATTCACAATTCAGTGAACCACATGCATAGGAAATGCACTTTTCTTAGATTAGTTCTTAGATCTCCATCTACATAGTGATTTTACTGATTGGAAAAGATAAGCCATCTGGCAAGGTCCACAAAAATTTACATTTCAATATGTCTTCTGTTAAATATTCCATTAATACACACTAGTCAGAATTTTGGCAAAATCTGGCAGTTTTGTTTGGATAGTAAAATCTTTAAAATGTTGGTTATCCACTTTGTTTATTTAGTATTTTCCAATGAAACAAGCTTGGGCAGCGGGTCTATCTATATTAAAGTTTACAATATATACGCCGGGACCAGTTTGTGGCTGCAGCAATCTCATGAGAGACTCCAAGACTTTCCCCTCCCCAGACAGCACCTCCAGCTCTGCTGGGAGACATGTATTCCCAGGTCAACAAAGGAACATAGTCTTTCCTTTTTTTCCTAGGCTGTCCCCTGGGCCTCCTCCCGGTAACACCTCTGAAAGGTAGGTGTCCAGGGGGCATCCAGAATTGATGTCAAAGCCATCTCTGCTGACCTCTCTGGAGAAGCAGCTCTACTCAGAGCCTCACCCTTTAAAAAAATCTGTTTTATTTTTGCCCTGGAAGGGTTATTACCACTGTCCTCCCTTGATCCTATGCAGTTATCCTCTATATGCATGCCATGGTCAGTTGCTGTCTATCCCTGTTCTCTCTCCCTGGTGGGCTTCTCCGATGCACAGCTGTCCTTATCTTGGCCAGCCGCAACCTCTTTCCCACCTTTGGTCCTTGGCTTGCCTTGCAGGGTTCTCCATTCTACCATTGTCCTTCTTCGATCTCCTGCTGTTGTTCTTTGGCTCCAGAGGGGGGCACAGCTGGCCACCTTGTTCCGTTTCTGGTGCGCTCTCTGCAGATATTCTAGCACAGATTTCCCATTGCTCCTTTCTGAGCTCCTGAATTCCATCTCACCCTACCTCTTTTGTCAGGGTGTTCGGCCCCTCAATGCAGGACAGTCAGGAGACGAACCGGGTCATGGATAGGCAGAAGTACCACTGAAAGCAGAGGAGGTGGTGGTATTCATTTCTATTAAGTTAAACAATCCCAAAAAAAACCCTCCAAGACACAGTCAATATGTTATGATAAAGTTTAAGGTGGATTTTCTGAAACTTTAAATAAGTGCAAGAAATACCTGAATTACTATTCAAACAGTATATGAGCAAATGTCAGAAATTAGCTCAACTAGCCATATAGCTGCTCTGACAATTGTCACGCTAGTCAAATAGCAAACATCAGCAAAAATATAAGGGTAACATCTTATGTGCACAGTTAGTATTCTAGCTAAACATGCATATAAATGTGAAATCACAACCCAACAGCTGTAGTGGGTGACGAAATGGCGGGTACTATTCCTGTTCCTTTTAAGGTTGCTGCAGACTAAACCAATCACATGACTGAGTAAGCAGCAACACTGACACATCAATCACTTTTTCGACTTCAAAAAGTAAAGAAAGAACTGTAAGTCGATCTGTAAAGTACCCGACCGCCATGCTGATGTGAAACTAACCACCAGCTAGATAACATAGTGGAGACTCTCGAAAATCCCCCCATTTAAATTCGCCAGCCATGATTTAACTGGTGCTTTCGCTGGCCTTAAAAATTGTTTCACTGGCCAGGCAAATTTCAAGGTGAGCAAAAGTGCTCCAGTCCCCCATTAGAATGAGAAAGAGCCATTTACGACGCCGTTAACTTAGGTCCCGTCCACACAAAGTCGAAACGAACACGAAACGCTAATATTTTCCAGAACGTTTGTCGTAAAGACGGAGACGTAAAATAAATGTGATCGTCCACAAGAATGCATGAAAATGCTGCAAAATGTATGCCAGGCCTGTAAGTGGCGCTGTGGTGCAAAAGCAAAAATAGGCAAAAAACAGGCAACGAAATGTTGGGCATGCGAATTAATATTTATACATGGTTGCCCTGTGGGTCCATTTTCGTGGTTCAGTCAAATTCAGGTGCTGAACTATGTCGTCGATATTGCTCTGTTCTTCCTGGAGATATTCCAGAAGAAGAAGATTCTGTTGTAAGCCCGACAGCAGGGTGAGTAGCATGAGCAGCAACCATTCAACACAGTACGGCGCCATTGTTGTTGTGATACCGTGTCACGCATGCGTGTTTAGAGGCGACGCTGTGACGCATGCGTGTAAGACAAAAAATGCGGTTAGAGCGTAAAGATGGAACCGCGAAAACGGCGTTTCAAAATCTTCCCACTCTGAAGGCTTAATAAAAAAAGATCGTTTACAGACCCCCGAAACGCCGGCTTCGTATGGATGAGAGGCTGGTTTGGGGAAAAATTTGTGCGTTTAGGCCAGGGTTTGACTTCGTGTGGACGGGGCCTTAGTACATGTGAATCAATTGGTTTCCATTTCTCCTCTCCCCATATGGATGAGAGGACATATGGAAAGTGCTTAAAGACAAAGGTTTTCAGAGTGGGCATATTTAAGGAGGTTAGGATATCCCCCTTTAGCTGTTTAATTCTCTGCAGCAAAAGGTTGAAGACCTCTGGTCAAAAGTTTTTATCCAGAGAAATATTCAAAAGCATCAAAAGTCTTATCTTGAAAATTGCAATTACTATGAAATTGCTTCTTTTAAAATAGGTGACATATATGGTTACACAAGACAAAAAACAGCTTTTTGAGCTATGAAGATTAGTGACCTTTCTGGGGTAAAAGATGACTTTTCCAGTTATATTTGAGCTCTAGACTCTGATATTAAAGCAAAACGGGGAAAAAGCAGTCTGTAGAGTTTTCAGTCTGTGAAGGGTTGATCTAGTTTCTAACACTAGAAGCAGGTGCTGGTATGGATAACGTGTAGCTAGTAAAGTTATAAGCAGCATTACCAGATCTCATCCAATCACTTCACATTATTATTTCTTTAATGCTTATTCTGGGTGAAAGTTTTTAGGGTAAAAATCAATATATTCTTGTAATGAGCCCGTCCAAGTACCCTTTCTCTGCTTTTTAGTGAGCTTCAACATGTAATCCTCTACCAAACTTCTAAAGTTTTCAGTGTTTTATCGCAATATTTTTCAAATAAAAGAAATGTGCTTAATAAAAAAC